CCCGGGCACGGCCCCCCCCCGCCACTCTCGACCGCTTCTACAACGCAGGTGAGGACGCCAACCGTTCCCCGCCGGCGTGGGGTTTCTATCACCTTTCCTTCTCCTGCCCGGTTATCCCGACTCTCCGGGAATATCTGGGCCAAGACGTTCCCCAGCTCCAGCGCAGCTCTGCCGGCTGCACGCTCGGGAGGTTCGCTGTTTGATTTTCTGCCTTCCTCCTGTTTACTTTCCGGGGTGGTTGGACATTTGCCGAGATGTCTTCCTCCCTGGCTTTAAACACGCAGGTGTGATTTCGGAAAGGGTGTTTTTTTGAGGGGGGAGAGGGTTTGCTCAGGGTTCATCGCCATACTTGGTGGGGGGGGCAAGCGGATGCCCCTCACTGTGGCCTCGGGCGCTGTGATGGCAGGGGTCATCCCTTCTCCTAGGGATGTGGACCGACCCCTCCCCCCCCTCCCCAACCCGAGTCGGCTGATGGAATGAATTTGGGGTCTGGTGTCGGTCCTGTGAGCATCCCCGCTGTCCTGCCCGCAGATGTGGCCGTGGTGGAGCTGAGCGACTCCGTCTGCCAGCCCTCCCTCTTCTACCACCTGGGCGTCCGTGAGAGCTTCAACATGTCCCACAACGTCCTGCTGTGCTGCCAGGCCGACCTGTCCCCCCTCCAGGCCCTGCAGGTCAGCGGGGACGGGGACACCCCGGTCCCTCGGGTGCTGCTTCTCCAGGGTGGGAATAGCCCCAAGCACCCGGAGCGCCCACGCCGGCAGGAGGGGGATCTCCATCCCTCCCCTGAGCCCGGGCGAGTTCCCATGGTCGTGTTCTGCTCTGGCAGAGATTTCCCTGGAGGGGATGGAGAGGGGGTGGTTGGGGACCCCGGTGAGCCCCGCAGCCGGGTGTGGGATGCTGGGTGTTCCCCTGGCCCCAACTGGCCGGGAATTTGGGAACAGGTGCTTTTCCTGGGAAACGCCGATTCCTTGGAAGCAAAACCCTTCGCACGGAAGAGGCTGGTGGGAGGGAATTTCACTGCTCAGGGAGGAAAAAAGTGTGGATGGGAACACGTCCAAATCGTTCCCAAACGTCACCCCGACTCGGGGGAGCGCCCGTTCGGAGACCCCTTCCCCGTGCCGGGTTTGGAGGAGAAGCCGGCTGTGTCTGCAGCCGTGCCGGGGCCAGGGAGGGGGCCACACACAACGCTTACGGCGTGGGGACGACCAGCCGCCCCGGTGGCTCAGCCCCGGTGTCCCTCGCCGTCCCTGGCTGTCTTCCAGGTAACTCCGAGCCCTGAGCCTGAAATCAGCTGATTTCTTTTTCCGGGGACACTCATTAAATTCCTTCTCCTTCCCTTTCTCTCTCCCCAGGAGGACATCTGCCAGAAGAACTCGGTACGTCTCTCGCCTCCACGCTGGCTGCCGCGGTGCTGGGGGGGTTGAGCCCCTCTCTCCCCCCCCATGCTGCCTGTCCCCGTCTTCGGAGGGTGGACATTGCAGACAGGGAGCGAGACCTCTCCCCAGATCTGAGTTGGGCTGGGGGGGTGTCACTCACTCAGAGCAAGCGCCAGGACCAGCAGCATGGAGAGGGCTGCCTGGGTTTGGAAAGAACCAGGAGCGTTCACTCTGGAACGTAATGATGGCAGTCAGAGATAAAGCTGGTTTGTCTTTCCCAGTCAATAACTTGTGGAAGGAATTAGCGTGGCCCGTATGGTTCAGGCAGTGTGGGCAGGCATGGGGAGAGGGGACTGGTCCGTGACATGAGTGGATCACACGGCTTCTCCTCTCGCTCAGGACCTCTGTGGCAGCTACACCTTCATCCCCTACGCGGTGACACCCCAGAACAAAGTCGTCTGCTGCAACGCCGGGGCCGTGAAGTGCCTGACGGAGCTTTTCCAGCCCAGCTTCGAGACAGAGACCACCTCCATCCTGCTGCCAGCCCGGCTCGTCCAGCTGCTGGAGGGGATCCCCACCGACTCCTGGTACTGCTGCCCACCCCTCCGGCTGCGGGCAAACCCCCCTGTCCACGTGGGCCGGGCAGGGTTTGACGGAGAATTACCACCCCCTCCAAAAGCCCCCCATCTCTGCATCCCCCAGCGGGTATTTTCGGGAGACGATCCGGCGGGATATCCGGCGGGCGCGGGAGATGTACCGAGGGGAGCAGCTGAGCCGGGAGCTTGTCCGCATCCAGCAGCGCCTGGACAGCGTGGAGCTGCTCAGCCTGGACATCGTGGTGAACCTCCTCCTCTC